CTCAACCCACTCACTCAACTCACCAGGGGGTCGGATGTACGCCCTGGCGTCGCCCTGGCGTCGCTGGGTCTCCGCGGCTGTGATTTGCGTGGCAGGCGCAGCACTTGGTGCTCTCCAAGGTGTCGGATGTACGCCCTCTGTGATTTGCGTGGCAGGTTGCGTGGAGCCGCGGCTATTGAGAAGGTTTTCCCACTGCGCTGTATCCGCTCAGCCTTCCTCCTCCTGCTCCTCCACCTCCCGCCGCCCGTCCACCAACCACCAACCACCAATTGTCCGCTCCTGTGTCTGGTGAAGTTGTTAACATGTGGGGTTATCCGGTCCTATAATGGTTGGGGTATGCGCTCCGTCGGCCAGCCACCTCGGCATTCTGAGCAATGATACATGGGCCACTATGTATCCTTTCAGATCACGATGCTTCTGGAACTGCTTGAGACTGTGGGCTTCGAAGTCTGGGGCTCTATCTGGATTGACTCGTGGTGGCGCCGATCTGTCAATTCCTTTAAGTTTCACCAACCATGCTCCCCTGGAACCCAAAGTGTTGCTTTCTCAATTGCTGAAAGAGTCACCCCAGTAAAACCCCCAATCTCTAGAACGGTGTCTGATCGTCGGTTCCCTAAGCATCCTTGAAGCCCTTTGTTGGGGGTCGGCAGCGCCAGGGCTTTAGCCCACAAAAGAAGGTAGTGCCCTCTTGTTTCACCTCCTTTTTCTTCTCTGTGTCTAGTTGTTGGACCATTATTTTGCCCAGCTTCGCACACGGACGGAACGTCGCAACTTTGTGTCAGAGCTCTCCATCTGCTCGCCGCGCTCGCCTGCTTTCACCGTGTACTGGGCACGGGTGCGTGGGTCATCCGACTTCCGCCACATGTGCGCCACGAAGGAGTCCTCAAAGGTCTGAAGGTCTGAACAAGAAAAAAAGGAGCTTGTAGAAGCAAGGACACTACTAGGAGCAAAGGGCATCGCTACTAGGAACAAGGGCCTTACTAGGAACAATGTTTGCTAGTAGAAACAATAAGCTTCTAGTAACAGGCGCATCGTGCCTTACTAGTAAAAACAATAATTAGAATTACCTCTTCAGACCTTTAGACCTTCTCCGTTTTGGGATCGTAGTCGTTTGGTGCGAGGACTTGCTGAGCTTTGCCACCGAAAAGGTGAAATTGGATGTTCAAAAGGGCACCTGTTACTAGTAGCGCTCTTGTTACTACTAGTAAGGCACCTGTTACTAGAAGCGATGCCCTTGTTCCTAGTAGCTTATAAGCTTCTAATTCTACTAGCTTTTTGTTACTACTAGTAAGGCACCTGTTACTACTAGCGATGCACCTGTTACTAGAAGCATCTATACGGTTCTGAATTTGCACATAGAGGGTTTCTAGGGCTGGAAGATATTGCTAAATGAAGCACCAAAACCTTTGTGGAGCTCATTTTTGTTGAAAGCCTTATGCGCTCGTATAAAGAGAATAAAGAACACTGTTCATCGGCAGGAGTGAGGCTTAGTAAGGGGTAATGACTAAAGTATTTTAAAGTTAAAGTTAATACTTCGTTCACTGAAGCTACGTGAAGCTGGCAGCGTCTCAGTTTCACTTCACTCCTTGGCCATCATGATCTCGCCACCACACAGCCAACTCCTGACATTCAGCTGCTCAGCTGATCCCCTACCAATATGGCCTGATCATGCCTCAAAATTCGGTGCTGCTCTTTTTCCATTTGCACGATGGAAGCTTTGACATTCTTCCGAAACAGTCAACAGCATCAACAGAACCGAGAAACATGCAGCATACCTTTTGGATATGAGTTGCGTAGAGGGTGCATTGACGGTGTATGCCCCTAGTAGCGTCCTTGCTAATGCAAAACTCCGCGTCCGTCCGGTCCAAAAAGAGCGCCACCCAAACCCCGGCGAAACGGGCAACCTGGCCGCCTTTTCACCGTCCGCTTTCACTGCTACCAGCTCAATACTCCAACGGTCTTCCAATAGGATCAGCCCCCTCCGCAAGAAGCCACAATGGACTCTTCTGGAGCGCAGTAGACAGCGCTGCCTGCAGTCATTGGGCATTGGTCCACGCTGCTTTCTGAGCCACAGCACTCCAAATCACCAACATGAGGCGCCACCGCCCCACACAAAGCTCCGTCACAGCTGGAGAAGCCAGCTGTGCTTTGCGAAACCCGTTGCCTGGCACGCTACCTTGGCAGTCCCACTGCTAAAAGCCTTGCACACTGGGGCATGCATTTGCGTAGAACATCTCCAGGCGCCCAGCTTCGCCAGGCAACGCCGGAGCCCCACCCACGCCAATCACCCGAAGTGCACCATCCTTGAATGTCGGCTTGTCCACTACTCTAGTTGCCGGCAAGCCACGTCTGCCGCAGCTTCACGCAAACCACACACTGTGCCAAACTGGCCGCTGACAATTTCCAACTCCAACCCAACATGACCTGCATGCCCATTTGCAGCACGCTGCGCAAAGCCCCTGCAATCCCAAAGCTTTGGCAGCAAGCCTTGCAACGTGGCAGTCAACTTGTGTTGCCTCTCCACGCTTGCACGAAGAAGCGCCCCCAAACTGCGCACTCCTGCCGCTTCAAAGAACTTGTCTCCTCCTAGACTTCGAGCAAACTGGCCTCGTCCTATGGCAACACGAGACCCAAACACCAAGCAAATGTGTTCCCCTGCTTTAGTTGGCCGAGGTGATCTCCCATGGCGTATGCCAACGCAGTTTCAGAGGTGAACGCGAACCCATCACGGCCATCGCCATCCACGACCGCGTCCAGGCATGCTTCATGCTTTCCAACACATCGCTCCCAAACGAAGAGACCACACGTTGCTCCTCTCGCCCTGGAGACCCGCTCACAAGCATGAAAGCGTTTGTGCCAACCCAAAGTACCCCCAAGGCTTCGCGCCTCACATCAGCACCTTGACGGTGCGCAGAAAACATGATGCTCTCCTTAAAGCTCGGCTAACTGCGCAAACTCTTGCGCCAGCCAGCTGCTTCTTCGAAGCTTCCACCGTCAGGTCTTGAGACTTTCACTTCTGGGGCGTCCAAGGCTGAAGTCCAGCAGCTTCTTGCGAGAAGCAAGATCCCGCGAGCGCGAGATCCACAAAACTGTGGCTGAAATACTGGCAGGTCCCGCCCCAAAAGGCACGAGCTTTTGCGCAGCCAGATTCACAAGAAATCGAACGACTGAAGCCATGACAAATCAATGAAGCAACCAACAAACTTCAAATCAGTAGCTTGCTATGAAAGACCCCCTTGAGCCAAAAATGTCACTCACCTTTGTGGTGTCGGTAAACATCGGTAAACACTCTTCGACTCTCCAACTGTCGCGCTTCGAACCTCAGGGACTGGTCCAGGTTCTCGCCACCCCAGCCAACCATCTGTACATCGTAGCCTGGCGTTGCCCGCGTTGCCCTGCCTCAATCAAGTATAGGCGCCTAAATATGTTTAAAAGGGCTGGATGCTACTAGGTAACCTGCTACTAGCTAGTAGGCAGGATAGCTCACAATTCTATTCATTCCGTCCCTCTATGCATTGATAAGTCATCTCTATACACCTTTTAGCCAGTGAACTTGTTAAATTTTCCCCAAAAATCTAGGCTTCCTTGAAGAAGCGTGAGCTATCCTGCGTCTTACTCCCTTAATTAAGGAGGCACCTACTCAATAAGTCCTCTACCCCCCACCCGCGCGCGCGAAAAGGTCCTAGTAGCTTCTTGTTTCAATTACAAATTGAATTCTAATTCGAATATTCTAATTCTATTTCTTGTTTCTAATAACGTTCCCTTGCTCCTAGTAAGGCCAGGAGCCCCTAGTAGCGATGCCAGGAGCCCTGCCTCCGGTCTCGTTCCACCAGCGCTTGCTGATGCCTAAAAGGCCACCGGACAAAATGGGCACGTAGGGGTCGTCGGATTCAAACCACTTGAAGTCCGCGTCCCAGGTCAAGTAGCACTTGGCCTGGCACAATCAGCCTCACACCACTGTGAAAGACAAGAACGTCCGGAGAAAGTCAAAACCAAAACAGTGGACCCATTGATTCAAACAGAGAATTGCACATTGGACCCATCAACTTCGGTCTTCGCTCATTTTCTGTTTTCTGTCAATCGAAAACTTAGGTTTTTAGATAAAGTTGACCCAGTGACACTCAGCATCGCTACTAGGAGCAAGGACGCCACTGAATTTCCTCACCGACACTTCCGGTTTGCCTGTCCACCGCCGCCTGGACGTTGCTGCCACGTCCTGCCCAAACATTATTGACTTTGGCTGCATAGCGCATGCAGCTGAACTGCATAGAGCATCAAAAGTCTTCGTGCAACTGAACAGGCTGCACATTGCCCACCGAACCACATGATAGCGGTTTGCTAGGTTGGAGACCATCGCTAGTAGGTTGGAGACCGTCGCTAGTAGGTTGGAGGCCATCGCTCTTCGGGTGGAGGCCATCCTTCTTAGGGTGGAGGGCATCGCTATTAGGTTCGTGGCTGTTTGCTAGGTTGGCACGCGTTGACTTGTTGATACTCAAGATTGCGGGGCGAAAGTGCCAGTAAGATTGGGACAATGGTGGGCCCTGCGCACAGACGCTCGTGTTTTTGAAAACTATGAGCAATCATGCGCCCTAGAGGACGCTACTAGGGGCTCCTGGCAGCAAGGACGCTATTAGGAGCAAAGGGCATCGCTACTAAGGATCCGATGCTACTAGGAGCAAGAAGCTATTAGTAACAAGTGCCTTACTACTAGAAACAAGAAGCTACTAGGGGCTCCTGGCATCGCTATTAGGAGCAAGGACGCTACTAGGAGCAAAGGGCATCGCTACTAAGGATCCGATTTGTGCAAACGTATACCTTGACCCGTCTTGACCCAACGAGGCCCTGGCCCCACGTCCAAGTCGGTGATCACCGGCGTCACGATTCGGCGATAGTTCTCTCCAATGAGCCTCGAAATGAGAAGGTTAACATGGGAAGGTCTCTGGTAGAGGCCTTCTGGCGAAATGTGCAATATGATAATATGATATAGGACGCTAGTAGTAACAAGTGCCTTACTAGTAGTAACAAGAACGCTACTATTATAATATGCCACTTGATTCGGCAAGGATGCTAGACGTTTGATTCTACTCCTTCCTCACCCCGAAGCCAGGTTCATTACAGTGTCTCTCTTTTGATGCCTTTTCTGGTGACTTAGTGACTGGTCGATGCGGATGTCTCCCTGTTTGAGTTTGTCCATAAACCTGGACCTAAAATATCTATGCCAGCCGGGGAATGATCTTCAGTGGCAAACACACAGAATGTACACCACAAGAAGTTCACAGCATAGATATCCCAAGTTAGTTTGTTTACTCTGAACCTACTGCAATAGCTAAGTTGGGAAAACAACGTTTTGAAAGAGTCACTCCTTTCGGTGATGCCCTTCACCCATGAACATCCTTGTAGCTTCATGGCATAGTGCAAAAGCACTCGTTGGTCTTCAAAAAAAAAAAACGGGGCTCCACTACACACAGTCCGTGTAATAATCAAAGCTGCACTCAGTCCGTCGATTCATCGAGACACTCAGGACACTCGATCTGATCATCCTCTCGACGCAGGAGCCCCGAACGTAGCGTCCTTTGCTCCTAGTAGCGATGCCAGGAGCCCCTAGTAGCCTCTTGTTACTACTAGTAAGGCACTTGTTACTAGAAGCGATGCACTTGTTGCTAGTAGCTTCTTGCTCCTAGTAGTATGGCCAGGAGCCCCTAGTAGCGATGCCAGGAGCCCCTAGTAGCGTTCTTCATGCCTGAGGAAGGACTCGTGCCAGCCAGGCTGAGGTGCTACGTGGCAATCAAAGAAGACGATCTCAGATGTGAGGCGCACACTCCGACGAACACATCACATGGAAGTGTAAACAAGTGGAAGAAACAAGTGAATACACTCTGTGTAGAGGAAGATAGTCTTCGCAGGGGTCAGTGACGGTCAGTGTCCACTTCCATGTTTGTGAGTCAAAGGGCAACAGGCGAAGACGATCAGAGATGATCAAAGGACCAAGAAGATCTCAAGTACGATCCGGTCTCGGTTCGGCGTTGCAAAGGACAAGGGTCTTGGGTGCTTTGGTGGTCTGCCGACTACCTTGAGTCTTCAAGGAAGCTCCCCACAGGGAAGGGGGGAAGCTTCGAAGAAGCGCTCTGGCTCCTAGACCTTTAGAGAAACAACAAATTAACTGGCCAAAAGGAATTGGTGGGAAGGATTCACAGCGTTCCGAAAAATGTCTCAGGTGTCCCCACGATTTCGCCAGTGGCAGCGTCTCCGCCATCCTTTTTGGCACCTATGAGGCCGACCGTCTCCGCCTGCCAAAAACGAATGTGAGACTGTCGGAACAGACTGAACAGGATCTTGGTTTTATTGGACTTCGCCACATGTGAGTTGTTTGAATTCCTCTCATTGGAGAGGTTGTTGCTTGTGGCTCGACATGCCCATTCCGGCAAACATTGGCCCAAAGGTCCAACTTTTCTTGACTGCATCTGTTCAATCAAGATGGAAATTCAGCCGCAATCATCTTGAGTAGCGAAAAGGCAACAAGTCTGCGAAATGAAATGACACCTTTGTAGGGGAAAAAATGGAAGGTCCGTGGAAGGGGGTCAGCAATCCTTCCACACCCACAACTCTCCAGCTATTTTTGGTCAGAGTGTGCATGTGGTTCCTCTGATAAACAGTTTGTCCAAAATAAGTTTAAGAATTCTGCTGGCATTTGCTGGCAAGGTTTCAGTTTCCTGTCCATTGTGAAGACCTTAGATTCCTGAATAAGGCGCATGCAAAGAGCTTCAAAGAATGTTGACAAACAAATGGGATGAACACGGTAGCCCCAATCCATCATTGCCCAGGCCGACTCCAACCAAACCACTCCTCGGTTTGCTTTAGGTCGCTCGCATCCGGAACTCTATTGGTCTTAAAAAAATACTTTGAAGCACAAGAAGACCTCCAGTGCCTGTGGAACACCAAACCACCATGGGGACCACTCGCTTCAAACGATGAAGGACCCAGCTCAAGCAACACAGCGACACCACGGCATCCCCTGGCATGGCGGATCAGTGTCACGCCATAGCGGTCTAAGACCTGCGGGCAAAGATTTTATAGAAACAAAAAACACAAGAGAGGAAAAACAAAAAAATGTCCAACACATTTTTAGAGATAAAATACCTGGCAAATAGATCAATGGTCAAATTGATCAGATTGTCCATGTAATTAGAGTTCTTCATGTCCAAGAAAAAAAACATAAACAAATTCCTTAACTCTGCATCTCATCCTCACCTCCTGGGTGAGATAACTCTCCGACAAGGGCGGCTGACTGCCGTCATCCACCACGATGATCTCTCGCAGGAGGCCCGGTGGCAGGGATTCGTACACTGCGCGCACCGTGTTGAGAGCGTAAAGACCCTGGCCGCAAAGAGTTCATTTGTTGAGGCAAAATGAGTAGCCGTGAAACTTGAAAATGCATTTTTTTTGAATTTTTCCCTTTCTTGCAACTGTAGGGTGACAGCCACACATCAACAACAGCAAACAAGAAAAAAGGCGCATTGTCTGCTTGCTGGATTGTCGGTCGCTGCACAAACGAGGGTTGAACTACGTTGGATTGTCGTGCGTTGTCCGTTATCTCCTTGGTTTCAAGTGCAGGCCGAAAGCTAGATTCCTACTTTTTGTTCCGAACATATCATTTTTCCGTCCGTATTGCGATTCTTCCTGTCAGAGCTTTCGCTGCTGTTCAAGAAAATAAAGAAAGCACAGCCCAGACACGAGAACAAAAACTTGAGAGAGGAGGGGGGTGAACGAAAGGTAGCAGGGAATCAGGCGTAATCCGGGAGGAGGTGAGAGGCCCCCCACTTGTTTGAAGAGAAGTGAGTGAGCGTGATGAAAGAAAGACTAGTGCACAAACGCTTGACAAAACCTCCAGAAGCTGTAGCGGTCTAGCGGTTTCAATACAGGTTGACGTGCCTTCAAAAGGAGTCACATATTTCTCAAATGCAACTTCGGATTTACATAGTGACGTGCGGCGACCCTGTAAATTGCGTGGCCGCAGGCCATGCTTGCAAACAGGACGTGCTCAAAAACACTGGTATTTACGAGGTTTCGTTGCCGTCGATCCACAGCCGCGGCAAGGTCTAAGGCCACGCTTGAAGACAGGAAGAGCTGAAAACACTGGTATTTACGGTATTTTGTAGCCGTCGATCCAAAGGCGCACCACGGTTGAGCGCTGGAAAAGCGCAGAAAACCGTGTAAATACCGGCGTTTTCTGCCGGGAAGGTGCACAAAACCCTGTAAATACCATAGTTTTGTGCAATTTTGAAGCCTCCAAAAGCCTCAAAAACCCTTTCTGACAAAATCTTTCCTGGTTTTTGGTCTTTTTTCGGTCATTTTTCTAACCGAGACGCATCAAAAACCATCGGTTTTTGCGGTGTTTTTTGCCGGACAGCCACAAAAAACGCTGTAAATTCCATGATTTTTGGTCACTGCTGAGGACTGGAAGAGCTGAAAACACTGATATTTACAGTGTTTTCGAACGGTTGACCCCGAGGCGCGCTAGGGTGGAGTTGAAAGGGGGGGGGGGATCGCCCCCCCCGCGGCCAGCAAACGAAGATGTCGGGGACCATTTCTCCGAGAGATAGGCTGCAGCTCTGGGTTAATACATTTTTGCTAAAGCAAAAGGAAAACTCAGGTAGCGTAACCGCTACCTTTCGTGAAAAGACCAAGGATGCGAGGCCTTCTCTGAAAGAGGGTGCTTTGTGAAGTCAAAGCAGTCAAAGAAAGAAGAATGAAAAGAAAGAAACACAGCTTCAAGGTCCCAAGAAAAGCCGGGGGTGACAATGGCTTTGAACGCCGTTCCACGACTTGAGGCCTCCACACTCGAAGCTTCGACGCTTAATTGGCGGCTTGGACGCTTCACCTTCAAGCCTCACAGCCTGGAAGTTTTATGGCTCTAACGCCGTGCGCTATGAGCTCAATGTCGATGTTTCTTGGACTGCAGTTGGTGACATATGTGGCCTCTGTGGTTTCTTCTTTCCTCTGCTTTCGTCTTTCAGCGCTGAGCGGAATGGGGGTTGTATGGGACTCGTATCTGTCCTGCCCCGCGCAAAGGTAGATGTCCCCTCTTCAACCTTTAAACGTTCCCCACCGAAAGCGTCCTGGAACGCTTCCTGACATGATGGCGTTTCCAGCTCCGTCCTTCAGGACTATCCAGCAGGGATCGGCACATGACTGTCGGAATCCAAGTGACACGAAATGTTTCTGGCACGTGTCCTGAGCAGACCTTACTCGAGAACGTTCTCGCACTGATTCATACCACTCAAATGGTGGTTGTACCAGTCCGGAGCAAGACTTCCGAGGCTTCGCAGTGATTTCCTTTGGACTTTGCATCGCTTCACAAAGGTCTTTGGTGGGAGCGCAATACATGTCTTCTGTACACTCGCGGCGTTGGAGGAAGGCTGCTGACACGTCTCCTTCCCAACACTTCAACTTTGGACACGCTGCGTGTTGCAACATCAGCTGTCCTGTGCCGTTTCGAGTTGTTGTAGGACCATGTGCTGTTCTTGCGTCGTATTTGGGATCCTGACACCCCAAGATTGCCCGAGAACCTTCCAACTCAGCAGCTGTCTCATGGGTGACCTGAGAAGGAGTAGGCTGTAGCCTCTGACTTCTCTCTTGGTCCATGTGTCGTTCATGGACTTCGAACTTCGACACGCTTTCCCTCAAAGTGTTCACAAGGAATTCCGGGGGACTTTGGCCAACTTCATCCAACCGTGTCTAGACACTGGTATTGTGACATGCTGTATCCTAGCATACGTCTGATCTCGTCTCCATGCACTGTCGCATCTTCATTGCTCACAGATTCGACGCCTCCACGCTTGGACGCCTCGACGCCTCGAGGCTTCGCGACGCCACCCGGCTTCTCTGCGGCTTCGACGCGTGTTTACCCTTACGCCCGCGCAATGTAAAGAACAAACAAAGACATCGAGACATTCAAAGGAGGGGTCGGAGTCTGAGACACAGCTGAAGGCTTGGAATAGCGCACTGCCGGCAGTGTGGGCAAAGTAAGAAAACTTAAATCACACGCAGTAAGGGAGACATCTGGGAAGAGGAGACACAAGAAGGAAGGGAGACATCTGTTTGAGGAAAAATGTTGACTTGATTGCCTTAGTCTTAAGTTCCCTTTTGGGTCCACAAAATCCAGCTTGTGATGCTGTTTCAGCATGTTCAACTGTTCAACCCTGTTCTTTTTTATCATGTTGACACAAAGACTTTGCTGGAGTAGTGGGGTTCGTGTTGTTTGATGGCGCTGTCCTGACCTCGTTCTACGAGTCTACATCTGTTGGGTTTGCTTCCAGGTTAGACTTCCCAGTTCTCGGCAGTTGGCTTGGGATGGCCCTGGTCATACTGGGGACTTCCCTTGAATGCAAGCTTTTCCCAAACGTGGCTCAACTGCCTTCCATCGACAATCCTCGCGCCTCTCCGGCGCAGGGCAGGACCACCGAAATCCGAGCCTCGTCGAAGGTGTCACCTGGGCCGGCATGAAAGTATCTCCCGATCTGAGAAGGAGGCCGTAGGAGCAAGGACGCTACTAATAGGGGCTCCTGACCTTACTACTAGTAACAAGAACGCCACTAGTGGCAAAGGGCATCGCTACTAGGAGCAAAGGACGCTACTAGAAACAAGTGCATCGCTTTTAGTAACAAGTGCCTTACTAGTAGTAACAAGAACGGCTACGAACGGAGCAAGGATGCTATTGGATTCTAGCTCTGCTCCAAGGGGCTGATGCTGGGAGCATCTTGAGAATTGGCTCTCCACAGGATGATGAACCAAACCTCACAGCGAAAAGCTGCCCTGAACTGGGCTGAACTGCCCGTAGCTACTCCAAACTAAAACGCAGCGAAAAGGACTGCCCCGGCTGTGTCTTCAAACACAAAAGGTCTCTGAACAATGAACAATCACCGTTTTGATCTGTGAGCCTGAAGAACCCACAGGAAAGACAGCCGTAGCAAAGCTGGTACCTGGAGGCTGAACAAAACTGGATGTTTTCCATGTCCACTTGGGAGAAGTTCGAGACACATTGGGAAGAAGAGGAATATTCACAAGAACATTTCCACTTACCCATGCAATGATGTGAACGGCCCATAAGGAATGCATGTTCCTGGCAAAAAGGCGCGACAACCCATCGGGACCCGATTCAAATAAACACATGGAACACACTGAACTGAACACGAGAAATTGGAAGCGACCCTAGGAAAGTCAGTTGACACCCTGCAAAGTCAACGCAATTCTGCATGTCTCAAAAACGAAAACCACCTGAGTCAAATAGGCCCTGAAGATCAACGTACAGTAAACCTCAAACTTGCAAGGTCCCCGATATAACCTCAGCAAAGTCCGATAAACCTCGCTAGGTCCCACAATTAGGGATGAACAGGCCGGACCTGCCCTCCGTTCTCGCCTTCAAACAGGGCAACAGTTTCTTTGCGCGGCCGCCAAAGAGCCGGGTTCGAATCTGCGGGCTGTGGATGGGATGCGTGGACCCTTCTTCCTCCTTCCGAGGAAAAGGCTTATATGCATATATATATATAGCTTCTTGTTACGTTCGTAGCGTTCGTGCTCTTCTTGTTCCTCCACACATATATATATATATATATACACAAATATATTATATATTTTGCTATGTTTAGGCCCTGGGGTAGGCCGTAGGTAGAGGTAGGTAGCAGTGGCTAGGTAGCTAGTAGCTTAAGTAGCTACCACTTAGGACGCAGGATAGCTCACGCTTGCACTATTCATTTGGTTTCCAGATTTTTAGGGAAACTTAACCAATAGCAATGGCCTCCACCCTAAGAGCAGACCTAGCACCTTCTTCTTCCCCTCAAGATTCCAGGATGCCAAAAATAAGCAAACTCTCCGGCCTTGGGGACTTCCAGGGGCGTCAGCAGCAGCGCCAACAGCAGCGGAGTCCAATGGAAGCAGCCCAAAAGCAAAGTTCCCAAAGGCACGGCCCAAATCAGCCCAACCCTCGCGTCACAGCGCACAACAGTGACGTACAAGACCTGAAGTTTCAAAAAGAATCTGTCGCTAAAGAAAAGTAAGGATGCAAAGTCCAGTCGTCGGGAATACTCAAGGCCAGTCCGAGTGGCAATTGAACACTTGGGAAAACAAAGGCCTAAGAGAACTGACCAAAAATGGCAACTGTTTTAAGCACTTGAACGGATGTAGACACAGTGCAGTGGTTCCTGTGCCATTGGTTCCGATGAAACAACAAATAATAAAAATCCAAACTCACTGCCCTCCCACTTGCTTCCAAATGCAATAGAACTTGACACCGGTTCAGCAACGCTTACGCTTTCTTGCAAGTAGGGCCAACGAAAGTCCACTGTGCCAAGCCTGATGGTGTACTTTGGCAAGGTGCCTCAAGCAAAAAGATTCCAGTCGACGAATTCCAAGAGATTGCCGTGCAATATGGATTCTGGTTGCGGATTGACATCCTGTAAACATGCCCAAGCTCCGAAGTTTCTTGTACATCTCTCTATCAGCACAATGCGGAGTCTTTTGACATTTGGTGCTTATCTTGAGCTATCTATTTTGCGCGTCGAGTGCACAAGCATATTTAGGACGCCCGGCTTTTGGGCGGCATGGCATGCAGCCCACAAGGGCTCTGCCAAAACTTCTACGTTTCTGGGTGAGCAGTCATTGATTTGTCCAGTTGGCTTGGGGATCCCCCGGCCCTAAGACATAGAATTAGGTTGATGGTTGTGTGTGTGGCTAATTTTGCTATCTTGAAGAATTCCGGAAAGCCTTTACTCAGCCTTTTAAGTCTTTTCAATGCATGATACATATCCCGTTCTCTTCCTCTTGGAGGCGATTCCGTAAATCTTCATGCTTAAACTGGCACTGCTGTGAGTCGACATTTACACGCTACGGTCCCTACATAGTTCAAGTTGGCAAACATTTTGTTCTGAGTTCAATTCTCTTGTTGGAAGCTACTAGTAACAAGGGCATCGCTACTAGGACCGGAGCAAGGACGCTACTAGTAGCATTTGTCACAACTTCGCGCCAGTCTCAGATCTTGGTGTCAAGCAGCGATTTAGAACTGAGCCAAACAATGCGGTCAATCTGGGTTCTTCCAGTGTACCTACGTAGCATTGTACCTATGTCAAACATCGCAGTCCCGGCAACCTGGTCTCGGCTTTTTGTTTTTGCAAACGGTCTACCGGGCGCGGTCCATCTGAAGCCAAAAGAGATGGAGCCCCTAGTAGCGTCCTTGCTCCTAGTAGCGATGCCCTTTGCTACTGGTAGCGAACCTTGTTCCTAGTAGTAAGGCCAGAAGCCCCTAGTGGTATTTTTGGTTATTTAAGAACTCATACAGTGACAAGGTGCCATCAGTGCCATCCATCTACAGTGAAACGACAAGCCTCTGGATCACTGTCAACCGGTCACAATCACTCTCAGTTCGATCTTTCAAATGGAATCGATGTGCCCTGTGTACCTCTCTCTCCACCAAGCCCTGTGATGTCGGCAGATTTCGTTTGACAGGCGAAATGGTCTTCAACGGGGTCAGGGCCAAGGGATTTTGGGCATCTTTGGCCCAATGTGAGATCGAAAGGATAGCGTACCAGGCACCTCTACATGAATCAGCTGGGCACCGCTGGGCACAGCTTCCCAGGTCGCCGGGAATATCAAATCAATGTTTTGAAGAAAAAGGAGATGACAAAGAAAAAAGAATCGAGAGAAAAAGAAACCTAATAGCAATGGCGTCCAACCTAAATTCAATGTTTTGACATCCCAGGTTGCCGATGAGGCATCCGTGTCACATCTGGGTGTTCACCAGGACGTCCTGTACCGATGTGCGATTGATGGACGCGCTTCTTAGTGCAAGAGGCCCCTAATAGCGTCCTTGCTCCTAGTAGTAAGGCCAGGAGCTACTAGTAGCGTCCTTCCTCCTAGTAGCGATGCCAGCAGCCCCTAATAGCGTCCTTGCTCCTAGTAGTAAGGCCAGGAGCTACTAGTAGCGTCCTTCCTCCTAGTAGCGATGCCAGCAGCCCCTAGTAGCGTCCTTGCTCCTAGTAGTAGGGCCAGGAGCCCCTAGCAGCGTTCTATTGAGGGTTTCTGTAGAGTTGGCACACAAAGATCTGCCCTGTCTTGCGTCCAATCACATTCGTCTTCGCAACCCGCTGTTGAGCGCCAGCACATGGACATAGACATGCTTACCCGTTACTTCTTGCATTTTCAAACAAGAAAGCACCAATGCCAATAACAGCAAACTCAAAGACAAGTAAGAGATCAACTAGAAGGCAGGAACACTGAACTTAAAAGTCGGATGAAACTACCCTTGCTACGAAATACTTCACAAAGAACTCCTTCTCTTGACAAGAATACTTCTTCTGAAGTTTATGAAGATGACGGGGACTGTTTGACTGTTTGTATTCTTTACATGCATATAGAAATACTTGCGGTTGCAGGCGGCTAGTAGAATGGAGGCCATTGCACCTCTCCTCCGCTGTTTGCACCACGCCATTGACCTCGTTTCCCAGCTCTTCGGCTACCGCCGCTGTGCGATCCACCGCCGTCAGTGGTGCACCGCCAGGCCAGGGCGGCGAGTAAGGCGTCTTTCGCTCCGGGGGCGTCCAGCCGTAGTTGTAGCCCGGCTCATAAGGGCTAGAGAAGGAGAGAAAGAGAGAGAAATAAGAACAGCAAGAAAGGAGAGAACAGGTCTATATTTTCAGGTTTTACGAAAAGGTGTGCAAAAAGTTATACCAGCATAGACCCCAAACAGTGTTAGCATTAGTTTTTTGGGCGTCAATTCCTCCAATTCCAATGTTGGTGGGAGCACCTGCATGCATACTTCTCGAGAGCCTCCAGCTGTTTGGGAACTGCGCGTAAACAAAAATGTTTGAAAACGATGGGATATTGGATATATGTCACTTTCATGAGAAAATCCGAGGGTGATATCACATCTCTATCGCTGTATCACTGTTTCATTCATAGCCACACGAAAACATACCCAGACAAGGCGGTGGAGAAAGAACAAGCGGCGTGGCCAAGCAGGGAACAAGGCCCGGACAAGGCGGTGATAAAAGGGCCGACAACGTGCACAAGCAAGACAGGCAGACCTGGACAAAGGACAAGAGCAGGACACAGGGTTTGCAACCGCGGCACGAGGACAGCAGGAGGAGACCAGGACGACACACACACAGGGTTCGCCAGCGCGGCCAACAGCACAACACCGGAACACAAGATTCGGCCAGAGACTGTGGCCAGGTTCTCTCCTAGGAGCAAAGGGCATCGCTACTAGTACTCCTGGCCGTACTACTAGTAACAAGAAGCTACTAGGAGCAGAGAACCCCCAACAATTAACGGAAAAAGGACAAGAGGAGGAGCTATTCGCGATGGCCTCCTGGCCTCCAACTTAATAGCGATGACCTCCTTTAGAGCCTTCTAGGCCGTTTTAGACCGTTCTTGATTTCAACTTCTTTCCTTCCCTTCTTTCCTTCCTTTTTGTTGCTGTTGTTCATAGACATGTCCATCTCACTCCATCTGAGTCTGTATCAAGAGAGTCTAGAAAGAAAAACTCTTGATCGTCATCATCATCTACAGAGGACGTCGAACGTTTCTCATTGTCTTCCCAAAAGAATCTAGCGCCTTGGGGGGATTGGCTGGACCGGTGGCGCTGAGCTTGGCGGCGGCCAGGAAGGTTCTTCAGGCGGAGTACCTGCAGAACTATGTCAGTTCAATGCAAGTCTCTCTTAGATTTCGACAGATCCTGTGAACATTTGATACAGTACCTATGGCACCTACTATTTTGGTTGTGTCCTCTTGTAGATTTCTCGTGTTTGAGGTTGTAGTCAGCCCACCCACCTGGAGGGTTGTGTGGCATAAGCTCCTCTACGGCCTTCTTCTCCTCCGCATCCACACTTTCCTGCTTGAGAAAACACAACAAAATGTTATCCAAAGCTTTAGGAAACCACTGTTGAACTCATGACTTAGTTGGATGAAATGCATGGGGAGCAAGGTTTGAAACTTGACAATGTAAAATGGTGGTCAAAGGGCAGAAGTGAAGAAGGCATGGCATTACTTTGGGTGTACCCTTGGCGTAATGCACAGCCCATGAAAAAACAAAAACATGTAGCCGTGGAAGGCCATCAAGCTCACACACCTCAGCTTGAGTGGCAGACTTAATGCCCACAATGCAACCCAACTCCAACCGCTCACAGCCTTCATGAGCTTTCCAAAGACCTTGTCCGCATCAGGCGGTAAAGCCTGCAATTCAGGTGGTTCCTCGTCTTCGACCACTCCAACCTCTGTAGGGTCCTGGGGAGCATGAAATGTTGATGGAATCTTCACTTGAAGGTTGTGGCCAAAGGCAATTTCCTTGCAGATTGCAGAACCTTCTCTTCTTCCGCACATACATGTGACTATCCACTGATGTGCTCTCTTTTGCAAAAAGGCTGAAGCTTTTAGGTTGGAGGCCATCGCTACTAGGTTGGAGGCCTACTGAAAGACTTAAGTTTTTACAGGTTGAGTATGTCTTCAAGGTACTGTAAAGAGCGTTCGCATTTGTGTGAATTGGAAAAGAGCCTCTCATTATGTTTGCTATCAGAAACAAGAATCAACAAGGCCAGGAGCCCCTAGTAGCGTCCTTCTTGGGCGCCACCTTCGTCTTTGGCTCCACAATCAGCGGCAGCCGTGGCTCCATCGGCACGGGCGGCGCCTTCTTCGGCGTTCGCCGTGGAGGCGGCGGTGGCGCCAGGTCGTCACCCACTTCGGCCTTTGGCATCACTTGTTTCTACGTTCGTTTCTTGTTACTACTAGTAAGGCACTTGTTACTAGAAGCGATGCACTTGTTACTAGTAGCTTCTTGTTTCTACTAGCGTCCCTTGTTCCTAGTAGTAAGGCCAGGAGCGCCTAGTAGCGTCTTTGCTCCTAGTAGCGATGCCAGGAGCCTAGTAGTAGTAGCTTCTTGTTTCTACTATATTCTTGCTCTTAGTAGTAAGGCCCTTTGCTCCTAGTAGCGAGTATCTTTGTATTTCTTTCTTTCTTCATTTTCAATGAAAACACATCTACCAAGACATCTTGCTTTCACCAAAACACAAGGAACGTATTCTTTGGGAAAGCAAGGATTTGAACATGGAAGGACAACAAAAACACTTCTCAACATGTTGTTAGCCAAAAGAAACTGACAAAAAGAAATGGAACCTGATTCAAGCCTGATCGGCTCCTTTTGTTTCTTGATGTCATGGCCTTGGGGATGCCAGGCGGGGGCCTCTGTGCCAGCGGGGTGATCGGGGCGCGGGGAACACGTCCAGGAGTAGCCAGTCTTCTTGGCACTGGAGTAGGTGGCGCAGTGTAGGGCACCTGCATCTTGGAAGTCCTTTTAGCAAATCTTAAAGACATTCCTCACAATTCATATAATATATATAGTGTTTTGCGATGTTGTTTCACTTTGTACTTTTTACACTCTCTGCTTCTGGTTTTCATCATTCACTCTCTTCATTCTTCTTGTTTCAAAGTATTCCTTAGCGACTCTGAATGCTTGTTGACCCCTTTGGAAACAATGAAATGCACTTTGTTACTAATAGCGATGCACCTTGCTACTAGTAGCTTTTTGTTACTAGTAGTAAGGCCAGGAGCCCCTAGTAGCGTCCTTGCTCCTAGTAGCGATGCCCTTAAGTCAAAAAGGAACTTGGAAAGAACGGTTCCAGCACCTCACCTGGGGTTGTTCAGAAGCGAAGCTCTTCTGCTGTTGGCGCACGCTTTGGCGTGGAGGCTCCCAAGAAGTTGGTGGCGGTGGACTTGGTCTTGGATGATGCCGGTGATGCGGTTGTGGTGTCGGCGCAGGGTCTTGCGGAGGAATCCACACATGTTTCAATCCCTTCAGCTTTCGGCAAAAGCCATGGTTGCTGGAGCCGAAGGCTTGGTATCCGGGCATCCACCGCGGACAGCTTGTACCAAAGCCCTCGATTTCTTGGCTGAAGGGGTCGTCTTGAAACAAGAAGCTTACTGCAGTGCGTATCGAGCGTGGTGCAGTCAGCGAACTCCATGGAATCGTGCAAAACTCCACTTCTCGGTCAAAGACCTCCAACTGTGTCCGCACCATGACCACACAATGTACATGCCACGGTGAGCACTGTCCGGTTCCGACATGGGCAGCTATTCGAAGAAGAGAAAGACCCCCTAGTGCAACTTGCAACGTCTCTTTGCAAATTGGAAGAAAAGAACACATTCAAAACTGCCGATCACGTAGATGATAGCAAGGAAGAACAAATCTAAAGAAAAAAGTCAGACCTGATCCAGAACCAGAGCCTATGTTGGGCTAGCGGTCAAATTTGTAAGTGTTCCTCCCTGACATGCTGAGTATGCTGAACAAGGTTCCATCTGTCTGGAAGTGCTTTGAGAAGTGTTGAGACTTGCCATCTATCAGCCAAAATGCTAAGACAGAGATTGCACAAACTAAATGGCTCATTTCCCCAACTGGATGGAGATGGCATTCGGTGGGTCATGGAGTCATAACTTCATAGAGGTATCTTGTTGGAGTGGTTCAAGGCGCAAGGTGCGTGGAGCCAGCGCTGTTTGGCGCGCAAGGCATTGAGTCTTGGACAGAACTACTTCTTGCCGCAAATTCGAATGACTCTTTGGATTGCTTCAAATTCGAATGGTTCTTTCCTTCTGTTCTGTTCTTTAGCCCTTCATAGACCCTTCTGCTTTTCATGTTATTTCCTTTCCTTTCCTTTCAACACTTCGTTCCGACAAGGCTTTTTGCATGGCTTTGCCGTTCTCCTTTTGGGCCTCTCTTTGCGCCTCGACGTTGGCTCTGCCGGCTGGTCGCTCCCGGCTGGTCGCCCGGCCCCCGCCTTCGAATTCGTTCGGGCATACCCTGACCTCGAGGCCAGCCTTCGCCCGGTTCAAACCCACGGTTTGGAAAACCCGAGCCCTTCAACCTGGAAAAAGAGTGGAAATTCGGAAAGGGTGGATTTAAAGGAGATCCTAAAACAAAATAGGACTGAAGATACTTGAAGTGATTCGTTGATATTTTCGGTGGTTGTCCAGGTTTCACCCTTCGACAAGCGAGCTTACAGTACATAAAGCATCCATGTGTGGACCAGCCGCCGCATGCACTGAGCAAGATGCGGGAAAATAGCAGTCGGTAGCAGTCGGACTGTTGCTGGCCCAAGCTTACAAATCTTGAGCCGAGCGGCTTTTGTGTGAGCTTTAGTGAGTGGAAGCCATCGCTACTAGGAGCAAGAAAGCTACTAGTAGCTCCTGGCCTCACTACTAGTAACAAGAAGCTACTAGGTGGAGGTCATCGCTCTTAGGGTGTCGACATGTCTCAGACCCAGACTCGACCACCAAAGCTCACTCACTCGCCTCAGGGCCGTCTGCTATCACAGAGGCCCAATCTGTACAGTGCAGCTTTCAACTGCCCACGCTTCAAAGGTTGGCTGTACCTGCCGCCATCACACCAGGTGTCAGCACCAGGTGTCAGCACCAGGTGTCAACAGGAAAAGCAGTGAACGACACCTCCGACCTACAAGCAATGGCATCCAACCCTCCGGAAACGTCCATGCGTCTGACATGTTTGTGTTTCTTGGTGATCCTCAATTCTTGCCGCGACCACTTTGACCTCTTTCTATTTTTAGGTCCAAAGACCACAACTTGGAGCTCCTTTCGACCTGAATGTGCTACAAACACCACGTCGCTGCCCACCTGCCTCAAATGGCGGCAAGGACCTCGAGCGACTAAGCGTAGCTCAGAGACACCATGGTTACGTTCAAGCCTACCGTGTCGAATTGTGAGAATCAAAATTGTCTAGGTTCGAGGCCATCGCTATTAGGTTGGATTCCCTTCATTTTTCCCTTTCAAGGATGCATTCCAATGAATGGCACTCCTGCCAATGAAGCCTGTCCAACCAGACCCAAAAGTACTGACTGATTTGACATGTTCTTAGTATCTAGTGGTCATTTTTGATCTGTACTGTTGGACCACTAATCTGAAATCACGGCAAAGTCCAATGATGCACAAGCCAGTGAAAGTGACAACAAAATATAACCTGGTGAACTGGTGAAGTTGAAAGTGTGCGACTGCTACTCTCTTCAACTCGATTCCCCAGTTTGGCGCACAATTTAACTGAATTCTCGAGATCCATTCAGTGGGGCGCATCAAAACTAGTATATAGTGTTGGTGGAAAGCTTCAAATACTACCTGTCTTCATGGTATGCTCATGATGTTCGTACTTCGAATCCTTTCTTTTTCGAAGCTACTAGTAACAAGTGCATCGCTTCTAGTAACAAGTGCCTTACTGGTAGTAACAAGAAGCTATTAATTTAAATTTAATTGGTATGAGAATTTGCAAAAACTTCAAATTCATTCGGCCCAACCTCCCAAGAGCTGCTCTTTTCAGCGCTCAAGACCACCTGACTGACGTGTGAAGACATTCCCAATGCCCAACAAAGAAATAGTGCGCAACGATGTTGTACATGTTTCTTATGTGTTCATGTTGACACTGCAAAGGGCAAAGGAATGTTCATCAAGAATATCCCCCACACACACAGCAAAAAAGGATTGATTTTTTGGGGGTAGGTCCAGTTGTAAGCCGGGTAAAGGCTAGTAGGAGATAAGTTTAGTAAGCAAAAAAGAAAGCCACCAGGGACTAGACGCACAAGTGCAAACGGTTTCAAGATTTTGAGGGAAACTCAACCTGCCTTGTTCTTTATCTTTATTCTATCTGATTCGTTAGGTTGGAGGCCACTGGTTTCAGCTCGACGAGCTCCTTCCGGGCCTTTTGCGGGCCCAAAGGGTCCACGTAGAGGCACATGCCAGTACACTGGTGTTGCAAAGAAGTGTCCTTCCCCAGACCTGGCGGAGAAAGGACGCTACTAGGAGCAAAGGGCATCGCTACTAGGAGCAAGTGCATCGCTAGTAGTAACAAGTGCCTTACTAGTAGTAACAAGAACGCTACTAGGGGCTCCTGGCCTTACTACTAGGAGCAAGGACGCTACGTTCGGGGCTCCTTCCCCAGACCTGGCGGGTCGGTCTGGGATACGTCCTACACTCGTCCTCCTTATTGTTTCTAATAGCAAACATTGTTACTACTAGTAAGGCACTTGTTACTACTAGCGATGCACCTGTTACTAGAAGCTTCTTGTTACTACTAGTAAGGCACCTGTTACTAGAAGCGATGCACTTGTTCCTAGTAGCTTATTGTTTCCTACACTCGTCCTACACCTGTAGATTGAAACCTACTAGCGATGGTCTCCACCCTAGTAGCGACGAGCTTCCTTGAAGAAGCGTGAGCTATCCTGCGTCCTGGGTAGGAGCGTACTTGTAGGTAGTAGCTACCTAGTCTCTACCAGCTACCTCGGCCTACCCCCCCGTCCCCCGGGCTTGAAAAAAGACAAGCTTTTCACCTTGATTCCTACACCCAAAAAGAGCCTACCGACACTCAAGACAAAGGGCCGGTCCCTGAGGGTCAGCGTCTTTGGACAAAGGACGCGTGATTTCTGCAGGAATCACTGCTTACAACAGGCCTCTACCCTCTGCGGAAACCAAAAACAACAACAATGATTTGGGGACTACTTCATTGATGAGACTAGTATGGAAAAAAACTTTGTTGAATGACTCATCCAAATTACTCAAGATCAATCAACATCAATCCTGGCTAGTCTGAGTGATATCAGGCCCATTCATCTGTACATCTGTGTGGCTGTTCCAAACTATATAATATCATGCTTGCATCCTAGAGTGTGAGATATACTTCATACTTCATATCATGTTATGACCTCAGATCATGAGAATTGATCTGCGCATACCATAATGTGACAAACATGTGATCTATATATCTCATAGTGTGTGAGATTGTGCGTTTAAATGTCAAAGCATGACATGCAGCGATTCACCTGTCAGACAATGAGCACTGCTCTATGACCATCATAGAATCATATTGTGCCGTACATATGAGCTGTCTCAGAATGTGAAATAGAAACAATAAGCTACTAGGAACAAGTGCATCGCTGCTAGGAGCAAGGGCCTTACTAGTAGTAACAAGAAGCTAGTAGAAACAAGAATGAGTAATTAGAATAATATACGTTCTCTTTGTTTTTGTGTCCAATGAAATGCAGGGATGCACTTCTCACATCATCAGACCTGATCTGTGCATAATATACACGACGAAAGGCGTGGGGTATATGGTTCATACTGATGTGACCATATTCGATGCACGCTGATAATCTCATAACATGAGAACTGAGTTCTGCATATCATAATATCATACTTTGACATACATTTGACCTTTCTAACAGTGTAGCAAAAGTTTCATTTGTCAAACAATGAAATGCTTGTCGAATATATGATATGTCACAATATGATATGCAAAGATTGATGCTCATGATCTGATATGGTCACTTTTGCATCTCACTTTAAATATGAACAACTTATCTCACACTTTGTTGAATTGCACATGTCTGAGTTTGAGCTGCAAACAACTATGTCACAGTTTCAGCTGCACATGTCTCACGCCGGATTAGCAGCATGTGCTCATATTGTCACATCTCAAAGCATGCGAATTAATGTGCGCAGCTCACACAGTGCGCGGTCAGTTCTTCATTTCTTCACCCATGAAATGCAAAGGTGCACCTCTCAAACGAGATTGACGTGTGCCTATTTATTGTGGCAAACATATGAAACTTATCATAATGTATGCAATTCATATGTCAAGGCAGTGCAAAAGCGCTAATCTCAGGACTTGAGATATGTTGTCTGCACCTCACAAAATGAAGTTACCTTAAGATGACATCTGAAGATAACATCCTTTTGGAATATCATCTTAAAAATGGGTCACACTAGAAAATCACACGCTCACAACAGTCCCTTCTCTTTTGGAAAGCTGCTCAGAGACCTGCTGGTGCAGGCTCACTCAGTCCAGGCGGTCGCTGTACATCGCCGCGAGCACACTCTGCACAAGGCACTCGCCTGTCAAGCCATCTGAATATCTGCTTGCTCTGCTCTCTTTCGCCGTCTACAAGGTCCTAGGTGGAACGGACTTTCACCAGAACCCAGAAGGCTTCTGAGCAACCTCCAACGGCACAAAGTTACAGAAACTTTTACGAAAGACCGGAGCCCCAAAAGACGCTACTAGGGGCTCCTGGCATCGCTACTAGGAGCAAAGGACGGTAGTAGGGGCTTCCAAAGAGAACACACCAAAATAAGCTGCGAAAACACAAAGGGAAGACAAGTCTCGAGACATCCGAGCCGGCGCTGGTGGAGACCTCGCGAAAGGAAAGAATCATAATGAGGGAAGGACAATCGGAATGCAGGTTTTATGCTGTGTACTATGTTTCTTAGTGTTTTTAACTATAGCTTTATTTGATAGTTTTTACTATTGTAAGATGTGTTTTTAAGCCCGGGGGGTAGGTCACAGATAGAAGAGGAGGTAGCTATAGTAGCTACTTAAGCAGGGGAGCTTCCTTGAAGAAGCGTGAGCAAACCTGCGTCCAGTAGGTAGTAGCGAACAAGTGTCTGCCCCAATTAAGTGGGCACCTACTTAAATAAGTAAGGGACAAACTAGTTCACTACTAGGCTACTTGGAAGCTACTACCTTCTGTCGTTCCAGACCTCATCCAAGTCCTTCGGCGACTCCTTTGTCTTCGGCAGGCCCGAAGAGATCGGCGCTCCATGCAGGGTTGCCATCAACCACTGAAGGCCTGGCAGCCGCACGAAGACGATGGAAGCCCCTGATGGTGCTGCCACATGAAATAGACTAGGCGCAGCTATAAACCACCAAAGCAAGTTGGCCCAAACATGCCCAAACAAATTTCGTCCACCTCACCTTTTGTCCAAGTTGTTTCACCAGCGCTTTTGAGTTTCACCACATTTCCAGTTCGCTCTGGTTTGGCCCTTCTGGCCTTCCGTGATGCCTTTGCCTTCCAGAAAAGCACTTTCCTGCAAATGCCACTTTGCATGGCGAAGGCGGTGGAGTTCGAGTTTCTCCACAAGTTCAGAAGCTTTTGCAGCATGGGGATGGTCCTCTGTGACGCAGGCGACAAACGACGGTCGCTTGAAAACCCAAGCCCTGCACGGACCTGAATGTGTTCTCCGTTCTTTCGGAGTTTCTTGTTGCCAGGAACAAGTGCCTCGCTGGTAGTAACAAGTGCCTTACTGGTAGTAACAAGAAGCTAGTAGTTAATTTTACTTTAATTCTAATAGCTTCTTGTTACTACTAGCGATGCACTTGTTACTACTAGCTTCTTGTTACTACTAGTAAGGCACTTGTTACTAGTAGTAAGGCACTTGTTTCTAATTGCTTCTTGTTACTACTAGTAAGGCACTTGTTACTACTAGCGAGGCACTTGTTACTACTAGCGTGGCACAATTGGATAGACTCCGAAATAACGGAAATACATGGACACTTTGTCATTGATGCTAGATAGCGAAATACACTCTCACACGTGGTTGATTTGACCACGCAGGACCTGAGAAGGGGCATGGAACCCTTTGATAAGGAGTATCTCTTGCCGCTTGCCTTATCAACACGGATCTAGGGTGTCGCTAGAAGGTTGGAGGCCATCGAAGCTCGCAGCCTCCACTCCTTTACTCGAAATCGCTTCAGAGCTCAAGCAAACATTGCCTCTAATTTTGCTTTAATTCTAATAGCTTCTTGTTGCTACTAGTAAGGCACTTGTTACTACTAGCGTGGCACTTGTTACTACTAGCTCAAGCAAACATTGCCTCCCACTGCTTTGAGGGGCAAAACCCGATTCACAGGTGCAGTGGTGGAGGCATTTGGAGGATACGATTTCCACGATCCCCCCCCCATCTTTCGATCTCCTGCTTGTTGGCAAAGATCAAAATCGGCTTCCCTGCAAGCAGCTCTTCCTGTGACATACTCAAAAGCTGGTCCGCCGCCTCACCCAAGCGCTCGCGATCGTTGCTGTCCTGCCGGCGAAAGAAAGAAAACGCACTCGTATCATGTTTATTGTTTCCTATCCTTTCATGCCACGAACCCTGGGTCTTAACCAGGTACTTTTCATCGACAGCATTTATATGCCTGCGATGCCTAGTTGAAGGCGTCTATTTCATCTAAACCAATCTTGTTGCACACCGCACCAACACGTTGAAAATGCCGGAACGCGAAGGTTTCAGGCCAAAACCACCCCTCTCATCCCTCTCCACCACAAAGATCACGGCATCTTTGTCTTTGTAGAAGTGTCGCCACAATGGTCGGATCTTATCGCGGCCACCAACATCCCATGCATCCACACTAATGAGCTCCATATTGTCAAACTTCAACGTGGCCTGAACGAGCAAATCGATTCACTTCAAAACGGATTCCTGAGAGGAACAGTCTTCAACAAACTCCCTTGAGGTTAGGTAACGGTTAGCTTGCTTGGTCAACACAAACATCCTGACATGGCTAGTACGCCTTCTCCACGTTGAAGCCGATGGTGGGGATTGTCGTGTCCACGTTTCGCGACATCTTGTAGAGCAAGGTAGTCTTCCCTGCGCTATCCAGTCCCACAATGACCGCGCTCGATCCTGCAAAGCCAAGTCTGACTCCCCAAAGGAGCCCACGTGTGGCCTCAAAATGCACCTGTATCTTTTGGAAGGTTGAAAATCCCTTAGTAAAGGTTTTGGCATCTACCACCGCTGGCCACTAGCCATTGCAAATTGAGAGGGCGAATTCCGTATCTTTCAAAGAAACCAACTAAGATTGATTTGAAGAGGGTGCGGTCTTCGTCACATTTCGTCACTACGTCCGGACATCTTTTTCATGAAAAATAACAAACATTGATTGAGGTTCGCTACTAGGGTGGGGGCTATTGCTACTAGGTTGGAGATTCTTTGCGGTTCTCCTTTGCACCAAGATTCGTGGTTTTCGCGAGGAGACGGAGAGTCCCATGGCAAGCGGCTACACTTCCTCTCACCTCTCACAGCACCAGAGCTTCGAGCTCTCTTCGCTCGAGCAAGGCAAGCTGTAGGTCCAGTGTAAACAGATCTTCACGCAACCAGTTTGGCCAAGAAAACAAGCCAAACCACCCACCACCTCCCAAGAATCTAACATGCCAGCAAGGCGAAAGAGCTCACGCCTGCCAAGCCGTTGACTGGAACAGCAAAGTTCCGTAAAAATCCTGGCAGAGGCGGAGCAAGCGGGGCAAGCAGTTTCCCTTCGTGTCAGGTTGTTCTTTGTTCTTTCGTAATGGCAAACTAAAGTAAAGACCTGTCCATTTACTTTATTTTTTCTTTGTTTCTAATAGAGATGGCCTCCAACTTACTAGCGATGGCCTCCAACTTACTAGCGATGGCCTCAAACCTTCATCTTGCCTTTCTTTTCTCCCTCTTTGAACTACTAGGAGCAAGGACGCTACTAGGAGCAAAGGGCATGTCTACTAGGAGCGGCATCGCTACTAGGAGCAAGAACGCGCTCGAAGATTTCAAGCCCCGACTTCTTGCTCCATGAAGGGGGTTCGCTATCAATGTTAGGACCTGGGGTATGCAAGCAGGATCACACCTGACATTTACATCAGCACATTTTCCAAAAACGTGAAATGCATGTATTGGAAAGGCAAAGTGGAAATGGTTCAATACTGTATTGTGGTTACTACTGTGGTTGGTGTGCCTGTTCCCTAAATAGCAGAGCCTGCAGCGCAACAGAATTGTTTGGCTTTTTGTGCATTGCAAACAGTTTAACTTCCAATCATCATGCCCGGGTAACATGACCAGGCAGGGTGGCACGTTCTATAAAATGTGATGGTCCCAAAACCTCCCAGTAGCGTCCTTGCTCCTAGTAGTATGGCCAGGAGCCCCTAGTAGCGTTCTTGTTCCTACCCCAAAACGCCGAAGAGTCTGGAAGAGTCTCACTCCGCATCCAAATCCACCATTCCTTCAATATGAACTCCCAGTCCATGGAGAAATTGTCCGTCTAGTTGTATGATATCATACGCTTTGTTCAGATGGATATCGGAAGTGCATTGACTCGTCACCTCATTCCCAACAACCTTTTTGAACATTACAGTTCCAAGGAAACCTTGCGCACGCTTCTGGCGTTGTGAAAGTTAAAGGTTCCTGTTTTGGAAACACCGCTTCATAACAAAATGTATGGCCACCACTAGCTGCACTACACTAGCCCTTGCTAACACAGTACACTACCTACATGTGAGAAATAAGGCATGCTTATTCCAGGTTGGAGGCCATCTCGAGGCAAATAAGGTCTTTTGAAAGAGTCTTTTGGTCCGAAATCGCTGAACTCCTTCCGTCCCGAGCCTCCTAGAGCCGAGGAAATGCCGATGAGATGGAAGGCCCTGAGAAAGACATGTACAGGTGGTGCAAAGTGGGTACATCCCAATCACTCTAGTAGTGACAAGAAGCTATTAGTAACAGGTGCATCGCTAGTAGTA